TGGTTTTTTGGGTTGGTGTTTTTGTCAACAGGGATGCGGGCAGCAGAGGACGTCGTCACCCTCAGGGATAAACGGAGTAGGAAGTGATGCCACCATCAGTGTCAGCTCTGAGGAAGTTTGCAGCCACGAATGAAACTGTCAGCAGCAAGGTTAAAAAATAAACCTTTTCTGTGTTTTAAAAAAATGAACCAACAATGCCTTTAGAAAAGCAACACATTAAGAACATTCCAAAGACACTCATTTAATCAATTCATTAGCAGTAGCCTCCAGTAGGAATGGATGCCTTAGTCATACTCTAGGGGAAACAAAGCTCCAGTGCACCAGTTTCAGGAACTACAAAATTGCCACATCAGAGGTGAGCTTCAGACAATAGGATCTCACCTCTGATTGGATAACAGCAATGCAACTCTCATTTCATTGGCAGGAATAACCATAAAATGAGACATTTATAGCAAAGGATATTTTTCTTCCAGGTAGATCTTCTCAAACATTGGTCCGCTTAACTGTCAATCATTCTGGTGAACCAGAAATACATTTTAAAGTTCTGAAATATTCCTTTAAAAGCAACAAAATAAGCAGTTTGTTTATTGGTGTAGATGATTTATAAAGTGAAGCTGAGATCATGTTCAAAACGTGTGTAGAGTTGGAATAAACTGGAAAAAATATTAGACAGAAATATTGAAAACATACAGAAAATGGGCTCAGCCTCAAAATTAGAGCTCCATGTCCATCCTATTAGTTAATGTGTCACTCTAATGCCAACAAGCAGTGACAGTGAGTATCCCAGCTACTCTCTCTCTCTCTCTCTCTCTCTCACACACACACACACACACACACACACACACACACACACACACACACACACACACACACACACACACACACACACACACACACACACACACACACACACACAGAGCATCCTGAACCAACACTGAGACAGGCTAACAAAGCTGCACAGAGAGAAGGACAAACGGGCCAGAGGACAGGAAGCCATCTGATAAAACACTGATAGGAAAGTGCAAAGTGCAAAAGTGGAGGAACTCACCATTACTGTGAGAGATTTTATTTAATGGGAGAAGATAGAAAAGATGCCTGATGTGGTCAATCACAGTGTGAGAGTAAAGAAAGTGAAATGAGCAGTTACAGGAGCAGCATTTATAACCAAAGTAAATTGCCATCATGTTGATTTAGAGCAGCACCCCGTGGGGAAATCTGTAACAACCCCATCCGTTCCATTCCCTTCAGATTTTAGAGGCCAAAAAGATGGCTGACAATCATATCTGAGCCATCTGTTACTGCTGGGCCAACTGGGGGCGATGGGACAAGGTGAGGGGAGGGAGGAGACAGTATGATGGGTTCTTTGGTTATTGTGTCTGGCAGTTTTAGCCGTCGAGCTAATGAGCCACTGGAAGAGCAGAGCGGCGGACAGGTGTGCAGCTCACAAAGTAGCTTTACCTGCATATGGGCCAATGTTGATTCGAACCCGACTCTCACACAAACATGAGCAACAACTCAATTTCCTGCCCAAAAAATAAATGACACATTGGTGAGTAAACTCAGAGTGACTCGTCAAAAAAATACATTTGAAAAAATGAACATGAAGGCACAGAATCTGGAAATCTCAATAGCTTATGTAATATCTCTGAATCAAAACCAGCTCTCAGTGGATGGTCTGATCTGAGACAGCATGAGAGGAAGGATGGAGGGACGTGTTCTTAGGAAGAGCCATCAGCTGACTGAGGGCTGGGTATGCATCCTTGTTTAGAGCCCCAAAAATTCCCAAACCAACTCATTATTCCGAGTTCACTGGAGGTGATCTGCAAGTCGGCTGTGAGCAGAGCTGGGAGATAATTGGAGACAATATTTGTCCAATTAAATCGTCGAGCTTGGATCCGAGTTCTGTGTGCCGATCAGTCAAAGAATAATTCAAAAGTAAATCATATTTATTCTCATTCAGTCCTCTGTTTTTAGCTTTAATATGGATAGATATAATAAACAACTTTAACATTTTTTCGAATAAACCAGTAAAAGATTTGCTACATTTGGTGATCTTGTTATTACAGTTAGTGCTTTTGTTTCTGAGGCTGGGTTGGGTCTCTCAGGCATGCAGCAGAGTCTGCGTCACCGCGTTTCTGCCAGTTTTGTGGCTATTCTTTAGCGAAACATGCTGTGTGTCCTCATTATTAAGATGGGGATACATGTAATTCTTGGAGGGACTCTGCGCGGTCCCAAATCTCATTCTCGGCTATTTTAACTGTTACTGTGAAAGTAAGAAAGCAGGAAAGCAACATGATGAATGAAAAACGGGGATATGAAAGTTCCTGGAACTTGATTATTGAAAATACTCAAATAGACGAGTTTCAACTTGATTAGTTAACGTTACATCTATGCTGGGAGTTTATCTGGAACGTTGTCTGAACCAGGTGTGGACAACAAGAGCAATGAAAGTCCATCAGATCAGCAGGTCATGAAAATAGCTGGCTGGGACTTTTCTCAATCCAAGCAGTTCTTTGCTAAATTTATTTAGCAAACATTGCTTTTTCTGTTTATCTATCCGGCAGATGCTTTTATCCAACGATTGTGGATATAGCAACGCAGTTAGTAAACCTGAACATGCTTGATTTTGACCTGAGGAAACCGGACAACATGGAGAAAACCCACACATGCATGTAGAGAACATGCTACGTCCATGCAGAAAGGCTGCAGCTATTACAGCCTAAAGTGGGTATTTCAGCCATTTTAAAGTATCCTTCCATGTATAAGTCATAAAAGAACTTACTCTCCAAACATCTCACTGAAGAGCACGACTGTACTTTCAAGATCTTTTTTACAGGACCCACATCCAAAACAAATTGTTGCCATCCTAAAGCTCTACAACACTTAATAATTAGCTAGTGTAAATGTTATTTATCACATTGCACAATAATTATTTTTGCAGAAATATGAAATTTTCACCTGACTTGACCCCCGAAGCAGTAGAAGTGCTACATTTAGCTGCTGCTGCTGTTTATGCTTGTAAATAACAAGAAAATGCATTTGAAATAGCACAATGTGAAACTGACAACGGTGTAAAGGTTTATCAAATAATGATAATAATGAAGACATTTCATAGCTGCTGTTGGTGGCAGTGATATAATATGTTTCTGCCTTCTGTTCAGGGATAATTCTTCCCTTTTGGAGTTTTCTGCAGCGTTTGACACAGTAGACCACGGGATCTTGAGAAATAGGCTTTGAGATGTTGTCAAATTAGCATTCATGGACTCACCCATATATCCAGAGAACAGAGCACAGCTCAGCTAGTAGAAGCTAACCATTAGCATTAGCAACTCCACCACACAGCAGAACTCCTTCAGACTTGTGGTTTTTTTTAGACAAAACATTGATGTTGCAGAGCAAACTGAGCCAGCAGTAGAGATGTGTTGATGTTCGCCAATCAGAGGCGAGATGTCCAAATATCAGGAAATAAGACTTCAAACCCTGCCGTCTGAACGCTACATTCTCCTCTAGCCGACTAGTACTTCCTGAGACAGGCACATCTGAACCCGAAAAAAACTTGAAACTTGGTTTCTGGCATCTAATCTGAATGAATCTTGCTGTGGAACACATTGAAAACCATCAACAGATTAATAAATTAAATAATTGCAGGAGCTACTTCATCATATTTCTGACTGTTATGTAAGCATCCATCCACCAGTGTGCTGCCTAGATCCAGAGACAACCAAATGCCATTCTAAGCCTGCTTTAACTCAGATCTCCTTATGGATAACAATATTAATCTGGTGCTGATGGGAAATAACTGTCGCCTCAATTTTACATAGTCTGGATTTCCTGAAATAGGGGTTATCTGGAGTTGCTTCAGCAGCCATTTTTCAGACATGATGATACGATCAGAAATGATGAGAGAAAATGGAATCAGCAGCTGGCACATCAATGCTTTGGACCTCACATCGCGTGCATGAGTGTTGGCTAAGCTTTCTCACTGAAGCTGCACAAGACTGGGTTTGATTCTCTCAGAGTTGAACAACAACATCTCTTTCAGCACAGGGATGGGAGGCAGGATGAAGACACGCCTGTCTTTAATGCACATACAATCGGCAGGGCTGGCTTTATTTCCTCCTTGGGGGCCAATTCGTAGCAGGAGATCTACAATGAAAGCCCAAGGAGCTGTAAATTGTTTCCCCTCTCCTCATTTTAACTGCCAGCTACACAGATTTGACAATAGCCACTTTAGCATGGACAGATCTGGGAGTGAAAACACACCCACACACACACACCCAAACGGATGTAATGCAACTTTATTTAACACAACATCAAATGAAAAATATATATCTTTATGTCATATTTTTGTTTTGAACACCAATTACAAACTGGTTTTTAAAAAACAACAGTCCATGAGCCTTAGATGTTTCATATGGTTGGTGTGTACTTTCAAATTCAAAGTACTACAAAGTAATATTAGGTACATGTTTTGGAGCGTAGAAATGAATAGTGACCTGACTGGTGTCTAGAAGTAGCAGGTGTTTAAAACAGGTGGAAATGGACGAGCTGGGACCAGTTTAGTCACACACCCACAGCAGAGCAGATCCATTTAATCACTAATTAATTCACTGTTGCCAAATTTAAACAAGAATCAGGCTTAATTTCCATTCCAAATCTGTGAATGGCCATAATTTCTCAGAAATTGTAGCATATTTATTTTCATTTTGTTTCCTTGATTTTATTGGAGGGTTGAAATTCCTGTTAGCTTTGGAATCCTTCACCCCGATTTTTGTTTTAAAATATGATCTTAAGCGATGACTTTAAAACGGTGTGCTTATAAAACACCGACAGGGAACCCAGGGAGTCACAACTGTTGCTCAACCAGCGCACCCTGCTCTGATAGATGCGCTCTCTGAAAATCGGGTTTTAAAAAATCACTCTGGGAGGCGACCACGAGGCTTCTCCTGTCAGAAACAGGTGGATGGTGAGTGTTTATGAGGAATCAAAGAGAAACTCACATGTTTAAGTTCCTGGATGCGGTCCTTCATGGTTTCTTGTATTCCTCCTGTTTGCTTCGCCTGGTGGATGTGTGATGATGGGAGCAGCGGGGCGGAGACCGACACGATGATGTGACCCAGAGAGGAGGCGCGTCTGGCGGAGGGGGAGAGGCTGTGAGTCCCCCTCCTCCTCCTCCTCCTCTCCCCGGCTTGGGTGAAAGGATGGAGGGAGCACTTCACAGTTTCAAAGGGCCAGCTGAGGCAGATAACCTTTAACACACCCACAACTTCCTCCTTTATATCCTCTTTTTGACTTCCAGCGCTTTTCTCCCGCTCCACGTTAATTTGTGTAAAGCGAGAATTGATCTGGACACAGTTACTGAGTTTCTGCCTTCCAGAGAGCTGAATGTGTTTGGTTTGATTATCGATTGATCAGGTTAAAAAGATAACGCCCAGGTGGTTTGAGATGAGCCAACAGCGACCCCTGCCGGCAGAGAGGTACAGCAGCGCCAAAAGACAAACCAGCAGGATTTAACTGTTGGCACACTTTTAGAAAACAATGATACACACAGCACTTTATCATTTTTTTCTATGTGAAGCTGTGAGCAACTAATAAAAAAATGACTATCTTTTAATTATTGGACTGATATTTCATTAAAGGACTATATGTTGCTAAACCATTTCAAATGAATCACTGCAATAAATTGATTCTCATCATTTCCGAAGAGACCTCTGCATCTCGAACAGGTATTTTAAACAAATCATCACTACACCACTTTAATATGCATGGTGGTAGCATTGGAATGCTGCAGGTTCAAATGACGGGTTGCAGCCTTTTCTGTGTGGAGTTTGCATGTTCTCCACATGCATGAGTGGGTTTCCTCCCGCAGGTCAAAAACACATATTAGATCAAAAAGTGAGTCATTTTGAATAAATATATAAAAATATATATTTTTTATATGATTAGAATTTAAAATATCAAAAACACACGATTAAATTATTTATCAGTAGTGTTGTGGCTAATATGGTTCCAATACCTGCAGATCAAATTTTCTAACTGGCTGGATGTCTTTGAAGAACACTTTCTCTGCTTTTCAGCCATGAGCAGAACATTTATTTCAAATAATTTGCAAGTCACATAACATTGTCTCCCTCATGAACAGTTCTTAAATAATTTTATGCTATTTTTCATCTCACCTTTAAAACAGATTCATCATTGTCAGAAAACAAACTGAGATATTTCTGTGAGTTTAACAAAAAGTTGGATTAAACTTGTAGACCAGTTTTAATTCTTCAACACTTTAGCCGTTTTCTCTTCTCTGCAGCAGCACACATATTTAGTCACACACTTCCAGCAAAACCAGACATGGATCTCAGCAGTTAAGAGAGAAACCACAGAGCTAAAACACTTCCCCAAATATAAAAGGCCATTAGCTAGAACAGTCTTTCACGCCTGCGTCTCATCCACTTGAATTAATGAGCTGAAAGTCCTATCATGCTGCAGCTCTGTGTGCATGTGTGTGTGCATGCGTGTGTGTGTGTGTGTATGTGTGTGTGTGTGTGTGTGTGTGTGTGTGTGTGTGTGTAACAATAACTAATAAAGGCTCAGCTGCATGAGTCAAAGCTAGAAGTGAGGTCTCCGCTGACGTCCGGTGTATTTTGTGTCAGGTCGAACGTCCCTGCAGGCTCAAACACAGAGAGGGAGGGAGGGAGAGAGAGAGAGGGAGAGAGAGAGAGAGAGAGAGAGAGAGAGAGAGAGAGAGAGAGGAGAGAGACAGAGAGAGAGGGGAGAGAGAGAGATGATGCATCAGCTAATTAGGTGGAAGTTGGATCTCTAAACTTTTTTTTAATCAGACAAATACATCATTTCCCTGCATGAGAATAAAATGCATTGATCTCCATACCTTCCCTGTCTTCTTCTTCTCTCCTTCTTATCCAATATCCAATCTCGTCCCTTCTTCACCGACTTCCCCTTCATGTTTTTAAAACGACACCTTCACGACAAAAAATATATCTTAATGATCCACGCACGCGCGCACACACACACACACACACACACACACACACACACGCACGCGCACACACACACACACACACACACACACACACACACACACACACACACACACACACACACACACACACACACACACACACACACACACACACACACTTTCAGATCAGAAATTTGAATGTAAAAGGGAGGAAAACCAGTCCGACTGAGTTGTACGTCAGACAGGACGACGGCCCTTTTGGAATTTATTTAGGTCTTTCTTTTGGCTTCACCAAGACAAGTACGACTGAACCTGCAATGATTCAGCCCAAGACCTGGATCTGAATGGAATACTATGTAATAAAATGCCAGATTAAAAAAATAAATATGTAAAGAGCTGCAAAGACAGTCAATTACTTGTGTATTAATAAAGTTAAAGTCCCATTAGTTATCATCACACACCAGTGAAATTACATCTTCACATTTGACCCATCCCTGCGGGGAGCAGTGGCTGCGCTCAGCAACTTTTGGGTGGTGTAACCTCCCATCCAAGCCCTTAAACTAAAGGGTCAAGCGAGGAGACACCGGGTCCCATTTTTAAAGTCTTTGGTATGACCCGACCGGGATTTGAACTCCCATCTCCCACTCCCAGGGGGCATACTCTACCACTTGGACACTGAGAAGGTGAACATTTTGTCTTGAAAATAAAAAGATGCAATCAAGGTCAAAATATTTAAATTCTTTCAAATGAAAGGTTGTTAAAATAAAGTTATGTTTAATATCCTAACATTAATAGCAGCGATCCAAAATGAGCTAAATGTACTAAAAATCCCAAGAAGGAAAATAATTGATAAAACCATCAGAAAAACTGTATTAATTCATCATATCCAACCATGTAAACATTATTATTGTTATTATAATTAAGCTCTATGTGCCTGCTGAATAGCTTTACCTTTGTCCTGAATACTGAACCTGGTTTGGAACTGTTCTGCCTGACGTTTCTGACCCCAAACCCTGAAATGAACAAAAACACAAACATTTAAAACTACAATAAATAAAACAAACAAATCACAACTCATGTGCTTCTCACTTTAGGAAGAACTCCGGTCACTCCGGCAAACAGACACAAGAAAAACCTGGAAGAAAATGAGGGAATTATTATAATGAGCCATCCATTGTAAATCAATATGGCCGCCATCGTTTATTACAGCTGCTGCTAATTTCACAGACTATTAAGCCGAAATCGACCTGAGATCATTTCGGAATAAAAGTTTCTGACTTTTTAGCCTTGCTGCTGTTGGGATAATCCACCACCATCCCTCCGCTGAAACCTGCTCTCATGGCCTGAGCTGTGATCAGCTCCAGCTTCAGAGGAGAACGAAAACAAGACATCAGATTCAATCACACAAAGACAAAACGAGGAGAAAGGGAGAATGTTGCACCTGTTCGGAGTTTTCTGGATAAAGCTGAAAAACTGCACGGGACCCCCGTGCCTGAAAGAGAAAAAATATTTAAAAGAGTTGATTATAAAGTAAGAGTTATGGATTATTGTACGTGTGCACAGATAGAATCTCACCAGAGATGAGTAGAGAGTACTAAAGAATGTGTAGAGTCTCCTTGGAGGGCTGTGTGACCTTTTGTCTGCATTACAAAGCCACTGCAGTGCAGAAATACTGACAGGAAAGGGAAAGAATCTAACTTAATAATAAACAAATCCCAACTCCAGCAACACTATTTCAGACCTTGTTCTTCACCTGATGCAGCCGTCAAACGTTCCCGGTCGGAAAGGCATCCCATGGCCCATGTCTCCCAACAGGAGGTCTCCTTCCACTTCTCTGTCCAGAGCCACATCTGGTTAGAAAAAAATATCACATCGTCAGTGATTTACATAAAAACTGTAGGATTAAAGAGTTTTGTATAATATGCATAAAAAGTAAATTTCCTTTATATTTAGAAATAAACAGAAAACAGTGATTCATGTCATTAACGCCTGATTAAAGGTGTTGAATACATTTCTGCTTACGCTAGAAATAACCTGTACTTCTGTGTGTTCACAAGAGCAGAAAATAATTTTATGTACGGTTAAAAAAGTACATTTTATTTATTATACATATCTGGTGGTAAGGTTTCCTTCTTCTACATGGTCAACCTTTAATTAACTCCTGTGGTCAAATCAAAACTTTTAAAAAATATATCTGATACTATAATAAAAAATACAATTCCAGAAAATTATATAGCAAATATAAATATCAGTAAATGCACGGGACTAGAACAGTATTTCAGTATCTCAGTAACTTGAACTAAACAATTTGGTTTGTACACTAAGTTTGTTTTTGCATTAGTTGTTGAAATAAAGCTTTCAACGTATTTCTAGGTATTTTATTGACTTGAGATTTTATATTTTAGGCTGTTTTCCTTTCAGATACAAGATGGTTTAACCAACCCAGCATCGCAGTGCTGATGTCCATTCCCACCCAGTAGTGTCCCTCCTCTGACAGGTGGTCTCCACTCAAACCAGATCCACATCTGAGGGACAGAACAGACCTTCAATCCTGACATTCAGCAAATATAGAATATCGACTAAACAGACGCTAAAGTCAACTGGGCTTAACTGAAAAATGCATTTTTCAATGCAACAAAAACACAACAAACCTCTGAATGAACTAGAGCGAGATCATGGCTTTCTTTTAGTTCTAAATTTAGAGAGACAGAACAACTCAGCATCACCAGCTCACCCAACATCCAGCAGGAAGCAGGGCTGACCCTCCGGCAGGTTTAAGAGCTCCACAGCTCTCTCTGACATCTGGGACTGGATCTCAATCATCCGCGAGCTGAGAGTCAAGAAACACAATCAGATGTTTACACAAACCAAACCTCAGATCACTTATGGCAACTAATCACTAACACTGTGCTGAGTTGATGACAAAAATCCACATACTACATACGTTTAAAATGATTAAATATGTGTCATTATTCTTCTCCTGTGTTTCTCTCCATCCAAACTCACAAAATCACCAGCAGTTGTGATTTCAAAATTCGATAATAAACGTATTAGCTAATTAATCAATCCTCTAAGTGTCCTAAAAATGTTAAATAATGTCAGAATGTAGCTAAAGACAAGAGAACATGCACTAACATATGTAAAATAAGCAAATAATGATAAAATGTAAAGAACTCATCAAGTTTGACATTAAAACACAACAAATGTTACATTACCAAACATGCAGACTTACTTCTGAGAGTATTTCTTTGCCTCATCTTCATTGTAGAACTGCAATAACAACAATCAAATCAATAAGATTTTGAGTTTTGTGTTTTTTCAAACAAAACGAATCTACAGAAACACTGCAGACTTTAGAGATCAACTATTAGAGGTTTAATAAAGAGTTAGACGATAAACTGACCACATCCGGAGGAGCTGAGTGTTCCGGTCGTCGACAGCTGGAAGCCATTTTGCTTCTTTATGTGTAAAAGTAAATAAAACCTACAAATCAAAAGAAACGTGGAAGATGAACATCCCACATGTGAACTGTATCTACGGGTCACGTGATGTTCTTCTTCGTTGAGTTTGAGTATTTTTACTGAAGGTTTGCCACCATCTGCTGGTTGGCACGCAGACTGCATTTTCATATATTTATTTTCAGAAACAAAATTTCAAACATGTACAATGACCGCTTGTTATTTATATTCATAATAGCGGTAAGTAATTTTTGTTTATTGGTTTTTTATGAAAATAATAAATAAAACAACAACAATGTAATTATTACACACACATAAATGTAATAATAATAATTATAAATAATAGTTATTATGATGATGATGATGATTATGATGATGATGATTATTATTATTATTATTATTATTATTATTATTATTATTATTATTATTATTATTATTATTACTATTATTATTATTATTATTATGTGATTTATGTTCCACAGAAGTGCATTTCTGGTCTGATTGTTTTTATGATCACTGTGTCAACCGGCCTCCCCTTTTCATATGTACTTGGGTTAGTTCTTATCTGTATGCAGTGTTTAGCTGTATTAAATTTGTATTGCCTTTGTACTTAACATGAGCTCATGTGTAGTACTTTTCGATTTTTATTAGGATGCATCACTTTCTGTTTTGCTACTTGTACAGCATCACATTATTGTGTTCAGTGCTATGAGCTGCCTTGGTTGGCAGCGGGAAGGTGCTCTATGAATGAATGAATGAATAAATGAACGAACGAACGAACGAATGAATGAATTCGCGTAACCTCGGATATGGTAAATTAAAACTCAAAGTTACTGGACGTTTTTGCATTTTGCTGTGGATAATTAGAATAAAACAAGATATAAAATTCAAGATACTGGTCAAATCAGGAAAAATATAGGAATTTAATGCGTGCAGTGATTTATTGTTGCAATAATGACTAAAGTACAAGGTTGATCCATGCTTTCGTTCTTTCTTAAACACAGAAACAGTTTTGTTTACCTGTTTGTAGCTACGGTTTCGCCGACGGCTGCCGGCTTCTTCAGGCTGACGCTGATGGTGGCGCGTCACTTCCTTCTCCGTTTATCTGCGGGCAGCAGAGGACGTTGTCGCCCTCTACTGCCCGCTCTCCCCTCTCCGACGATGCAGTCCCATGTGTGGTCCAGCGTGTAAACTCCGTCGTCCCTGTTCATGGTCCCACATCCACGTCTCCTTATCTCTATTGCTTCCTTGATCCATCTTTTGTATTTTTGTTGTTCAGTGGTTATGATCCGTGTGCTGTCCCAGTCCATTATATGGTTTTCTCTTAAGCAATGATCTGTTACGGCTGACTTTTTTATTGTACTTTCTGCTTCTTCTTTTGCTGCTCTTGTGTGTTTACGATTTGCCTCTTTCTCGCACTCCTTTCTGTGTTCTATTGTCCGTGTATTGAGTTGGCGTCCGGTTTCTCCTATGTATGTTTTATTGCATATTTTGCATAGGATTTCGTAGATGACTCCACATTTTTGTCCAGCTGATATTTTGTCTTTTGGGTGTACTAATCTGTTTCTAACTGTTGTGTATGGCTTTGTTGGTGTGTTTATGTTGTGTTTTTCATTGTTGCTCTTATTTTTTCCGTTATGCCTCTGATGTATGGTAGGGTTATCACTGGTTTTGGTTCTTGTCTTTCTGGGTTTCTGGTTCTTTTTTTGGGTTGTTCTTTGCTTTCTGTTTTTGTTTGTTGTTTTCCTTTGTTTATTTCCCATGTCGGGTATCTGCAGGTCTTTAAAGCGTGTTGTATGTGTTTGTCCTCTTGTTTACGGCCTCTCTCTTCTGTTATTATGTTTGCTCGGTGATATAATGTTCTGATTACTGACATTTTGTGTATGGTGGGGTGTTCTGATGTCCATAATAGATATTGGTCTGTGTGTGTTGGTTTCCTGTATGTGTTTATTTTAGGGTCCCGTCGGTCTGCCTGGTGATTTTCATGTCCATAAATGCTATGCTGCCTTCTGTTTCTAACTCATAAGTGAATTTTATGTTGCCCGTGTCGTCAATATTGTTTAAGTGTTGTGTTAGTGTTTCTGTTTGACCTTTTGGTATGATTTCCAGTATGTCGTCTACGTAGCGTTTCCATAGTTTTATTTGCAGTTTGGGGGGGGCGGTGGCTATGGCTTTTTGTTCCAGGTATTCCATGAAAAACTCGCACAGGGTGGCTGATAACGGGTTACCCATGGCGAAGCCTTCCAGTTGTTTGTATATTGTGTTGTCGTATGTGAAGTAAGTGGAGTTAGCTACCAGTCCTATCAGTTGTGCTTTGTCATCTGCTGTGAGGTTTGTCCTTTTATGTAAAGTTTTGTCTTGTCTGATTCTGTTAACTACTATGTCTATGGTTTTTTGGGTTGGTGTTTTTGTGAACAGAGATGTGACGTCATGTGAGATGAGTATGTCGTTGTCTTCTATTGTAATTTCCTTTAGTTCTTTTGCCAATTCTATACTATTTTTGCAGTGTTGGTCTGTATTTCCTAATAACGGGCTGATGATTCTGCTGATATCTTTTGCCATGTTGTATGTTGGTGTACCTATGCTGTCAACTATTGGTCTAAGTGGGGTGTTTTGTTTATGTATTTTTGGTGTTCCATATATTCTTGGTGTTATGTTTGCTGTGGGAATCCAGTGTTTGTACATTTTTTCTGTTATTTTGCCTTTTTCGTGCAGTGGCTTCAGTAATTTTTTCATGTTTGTCTTAATGTTTTCTGTTGGATCTTTTTTAAGTATTTCATATGTATTTTTGTCTTCTAGCATCTGTTTCATCTGTTGTTTATATTTTTCTCTGTCTATAACTACTGTGGTTCTTCCTTTATCTGCCGGTAGAATAATTATCTGTTCATTTTTGGATAAAGCCGGCAGCTGTCGACGAAACCGTAGCTACAAACAGGTAAACAAAACTGTTTCTGTGTTTAAGAAAGAACGAAAGCATGGATTTACAAAGACACAGCAAGAACACACCTAAGAAGTACAAGGTTGATTTCGTAATATACGCGGCTTTTGGGGGGGATTGGGTAAACAGAATCGTCTATCTAAAGGGACTTACTGTCAAAATATAAATAGATCGGAATTTCAAAATTTACTAGTTAACGAGTTGCTATGAACGCAACAATCCCGTTTCTTTTTGTTCTGTATAATGATTGGTCGGATTATGAGATCACTTCCTTTAAACCTTGAATGTGATTGGCTAGATCTTCTGCGACAACCGGAAGTTTTCTGTTCACCGGCTCGTGGGAAGGAACATGGCAGAGGTCAGCCCGAGACTGTTTGGAACTGGATTTAGCCGGCTGATAGTTTTCAGAACCAACTTGAATCGACCCGTATGTGTTGACAGAGGTTCCGAGTGTCTTCTAATACACGGTAGTCGTAGTTTAGCTCAGCAGAAATCAACCCATGATCCGGTGGTGTCAAAAAGCAAGGCAACGCAAAGAACACCAAAGAAAGATTTGAATCAACAGACATTTGCGACTCTGTTCGGTTCTTCTTTTGACCTGCCTTCATCTTCTTGGATTTGTTGTGCTGACTCTAGAAAGAGGCTACAAGCATTTGGAACAACCTGGAGCATATCTACGGGTCCCCTCCAGGGGAAGCTGCTGGCATGCAAGATGTCCTCCTGGACAAGAGGTGTTGTTTTTATCCACCATGACACATTTAGGTCCCCTCAGCAGGTCAGAGCCTTCTGCGCTGTCCTGTTTGTTCGGACAGAGAATGAATCAGTGGAGCTCAACTGTGGACATCTGAACTTTCATCCTCGTACAGTGAGAGCTTCAGCACCCACTAGAAGCTACTGCCGGAGGTCAGAGGCCCATCTGTTGCACAGAAGCAAGACATCCTATTATGATATCCTCAAAGTGTCCTCCGGTGCCACACAGTCCCAGATCAAGACAGCTTACTACAAACAGTCCTTCATCCACCACCCTGACAAGAACCAAGGAAGCACAAAGGCCAACCATCGCTTCTCTGAGATCAGCGAGGCATACGCTGTGCTGGGCAACACCAGCCTGAGAAGGAGGTACGACCGGGGACTCCTGAGACACTCAGATATCCAAAGTGCAGGGAGACCAACTTCTAAAGAGACTAAAAGTAGATCTACAGGCTCCCAGCAACAGCAGAGAGTCAGCCGGTTCTCCCACGTCGATGGAAAGCCCATATTTGACTTTGACGCCTTTTATCAAGCTCATTATGGGGAGCAGCTGCAAAGAGAGAGGGTCATGAGAGCCAGGAGGAAGCAGATGGAGGAGATGCAGAAGAAGATTAACAGTAGGAAGCAGCACACAAAGATAGAGTTGGTCTTTGCGGTGCTGGTAATGATGGCAGGAGTCATTTCTCTTAGTCTCCTCAAGCCTTGAAATAGCAGTAAGCAGGTGCTCCATGAGCTCCAAGGAAGTGGAGGAACGAGATGAAGCGGCTATGTGTCTTTGCAAGTGTTGCACAGTGTCAGATGGTTAATTACTGCAGTGGTTAAGCCAACTTTAATGTTTGTATTGGTGAGAATTAAAGCAGCACCTCACTGTTTTAAAAATGGCTTCTTCATTTTTATATAATTGGCTTTTCGTGTTTAATAATTTACAAAATCTTTAGCTTTTCTATGCTTTATCCATAAACACTGCTTAAATTGAATGTGCTGTACACACGATGCCTTCGTGTGATTTAAATTGTATCAGAATGTACAATTATAATGAGAAAGCTACTTTAAAAACAAATAATTTTGTTATTAATTATTTTTTCTGTAGTAATGCATTTTGAGGTTTCACAATTTAGTTTTAAAATTTTAAAGTCATGCCACCTATAACTAATGATATTTTCATATAAATGGCATGTTAAAAGGCAGCAAATTATACAAACAATGGAGAAATAAAACTATTTTAATGAGTCTAAATGACCAGGAATGTAACAATAAATTAATATGTTTGTAGAGAACAAGGGCTCAGATCTGCATATGATCCAGAATCTGTGGAAACTGAACCTGAACCGAAAGATGACATTTATTTTATTATTCTACGGGTAAATAAAAGCTTTTTTGCTACTGAAACACAGGACAAAATAATTTTTAAAAAGGATATCTACCAATTATACAATAACTGAACAGAGGAAAAAACAACTGAGGATTAAAAATATAATAATTTTACTTAAAAAGTGACATTGCTCTGAATAATTTTGGTTTTATTTGCATGTTTTCTGGATTTTTTCTTGCATATTTGCTCATTTAGAGTTAGTCTGTCCTCCAGGGGGCATCTGAATATATAAATTTTACCTATTAAGCTGCAGCTCTGTGTGGGAGGAAATAAACACGTCTTCTCAATAAATTTGATTATTTTTGTCCAATTTCATCTAAGAGTGCACACAAATATCTCATATTAGACTTTATATTGATTGAAATTGTCAGTATATGCTAAACTATCATTAATCAATCCTGAAGAAAACAGCAACAGTTTGTTCACATTTTATTCACAGAAATATAAAGTAGTATGTCAATTACATCACTTTGTACAAAATTGCACAGACTCTTCAAAACTCAGTCAGACAACAGAAAGTTCAGCTGTAGGATAGTTTAGAAAATAAAATATATGTGGGATGGGTTTCTTTCCACTCAGGCTGTTTCATAGAAGAATCAGTTCTACATAAATAAGACTCGATAGGAAACGTGTAATTTACAGAGGGAATAATACGCTTCAAAAATAGGATTCAAATTGGCACATGAAATTGCTTCATTCCACTGAAATCAGAGAATGAGTGGCCATGCTTGAAGAGACAGGCTTGTGATATGTTTATTATGTTTACAGAGGAAAAGACTTGCATACGTCCAAGTATGTTTGCAATGACGTAGCATTTTCCTTTAGTTGTGTCTAACGTGTTATAAAGTCAAAGTTTGCATGTTTATACTCTAAATAGCCAATAAAATCACTAAATTTATTACTTAAGATATGTTAAACACTTTGGCAAACCTAAATGTTAGAAAAACCTAGGAAATTAGGGGTCCAATCACGTAAATGTTAGAGATGTTCGATATTGTCGACTGATATTCGCATAGACTTCATAAAGTTAGGAATTTACCTGGATCAGTTCTTACTCTTCTAATGACAACCCTTTTATATACCGTGCACGTCAAACTCTTCAGCTACTTCTCTCACTCACTTCAGTCATAATTATCATACTTTCATCAACATAATTAATCCAATAATTACAATTGACAGAGAAGTATATTTTTTCTCAACTGTAATGTAACATAGGCCTAAAGGTGCATTATGTAAAAATGAAGTAGGAATGACATCCTGTGGTCAAACTTGGGTACTGCAGCCAAGATTCAGGTCTGACAGATAGACTGTAAACTCTGATCCACACTGCGGAACAGTAGGGGTGGTGATGCACCTTTCAGTTGGTTGCCAGACGCCGTAAAACTCTAAGAAGAAGAAGAAGGAGAAGGGTACTGCAGCCCATTTTCTAAACATGTGGGTGACTTTCTTTGTCCTGTTCTATAAGTTTCATGGCTGTTGCCAGCGCCAGAAGATTCTAGAAGATGAGCGAAAACGAGTCATACACAGTAAGTAGATGAATACGTTTTACTGTAATTTTGAGTTGTTGACAGTGAAAAAGTAGCTTGAGATTTTTTAAGAGCTGACTATTTGTTTCTAATTCACAGTTAGCATTGTTAGCTCAACGTTAGCCACCAGCATTTTTTAGCCGATATAAAGATGCCACGGTGTCTTAGAGATAGAAGAAACAGGTTTTGGGTCTCTGTTTTTACTGGCTTAGGATCGTTACAAAACACTTCTGCGTTTTGCTGGTCAATGTCGAATGACAAATGCCGGCGCTGTGGGCTCACATATTTTAAACGGTGACTATGTCCCTCTTTGGCCATTTTAAAATGAGAAAAACGGACAACCCCCCAGCCAGCTGAGAAGGAAACCTCTTTCATTCAAACCTTCCTTCCAACTTGATTAAGACATTAGACTGTTTTGTCATTATTTCACCATACATTCTTGTGTATTGTATCTTTAAAGCTTCATAAAATAAAATAAAAAGTTCAAGTGACCTAAAATTGTATTTAATTTGATTTAAATGCCCTTTTTGTATTTGAACCATTCTGGACTAGTTTTTTACTCTAATTGTCAGAATAGTGCTAAGCTAACCCATAAGCAGTGTTAGCTCGTAAGCTACAACCATAAAAGAAGACGTCTAAGAAAACATCTAAATAATAGATCTGCCTCAACAGAGTACGTTTCATTTATGGGACTAGTTTTCAGGTGGTGTTTTTATTTTCTACATTAACGTTTTAAATGTGAAAAATTTGGTTTATTTTAAATTAACTACATTAAAAAACTTCACTTTCTAGTTAGCATAAAGCAGCAAACTTACATCTTTCTATTCAAGCATGGCCACTTAATACAGTTAGTTTTTCTGTCTGTTCCACTTCATACCCACTAATTCACCTGGAGGCCACATAAATCAGAACACTGGGATGCCTTTAAAAAGTCCAAAGTCCCTCCAACAACACTGGATTTGGTATTAAATTATCTTCAAGGCATAACTTTAATCTATATTAACAATGTGTCTAATCTACAGGTTATCAGTGAGTGAACAGAGAACGATCACCAGGCGGAGGGACCCAGAAAATCATGTTTTTCAAACATTACTGTGGCACATGTACTATTTAAAAAATATTTGGACTCTAATAACTCATCACACATTCATAGGATGTCAAGCTGTCTGAAAAATGGAAACTACTTTTAAATCGTGTTTGTGTGCGTCAATAAAAGGCTTAAACCCACTATGCGTGTTTTTAGTGTGTCTGAAGCAGTGAAATTAACACCTGCATCTTATTTTATTAACTCCTGCATTGTCGTTCTAGATGCTATCAACAACGGTCCATTCAAGTCCAAAGCAATTGTCAGGCACCTTTGGGCTGTACATGTCTAAGAAAATAGCTCTACGCTTACACTCACACATGTGTACACTGTACTGGTGTTAGTGGAAAGGCCCCAGAGCGAGAGAGACCTTGTGGAGGAAACCCAGAGGGACAGAGAGGATATCCGGGACAGATTCAAAGCAGCTTTATAAACATTAACAAGAAGCTCTCAGGAGCTCAGAGGGGAGGGATCGGATCGTCAGGGTCATCTCAGAATCAGTCCTCCTGCAGTGGGGGGGTCATATGGCCTCTGCTCCTGGGGAGCTGTGGGTAAGGCTGAACAGGAAATGGTCAAGGGAGGTGAATCAAAGCCACACGACTCCACAGAATGACTTCCTCTTAATGTTCTCAACCTTCATTAATCTTCACTTGTCTTAAAATCCTCTGCTTCTCAAATATCCTTGATATCTTAATTTAAAACAAATTCACAGAAGTTAAACTCATTTGTTACCATGGATTCATTTCTTGGTGTCATTTGCTTGCCATATAAGGAAACTAAATGTCTTTGCAATGAAAAAATATAAATAAAAAATAAAAAACAGACAAAATAATGGGTGATATGGTGATCTAGGCCGTTTTTCCTCATGCACAGAGCGCCCTGTATCACATTAAACCTTCTGCATCCTCCTCAGACAGAAGATAAACAACTCAACCCCGCTCTGAGTCATTTAGTAGAAAGAGTACTGGTTCTCCACAGCTCGGGCCCTCCGAGTCCCATCAGCATCGTGGTAATCGTCAGAGGAGCCACTAGAGGCCTCCAGCAGGCGCTCAGAGCTGTTGCTTCGGCTCTGCAGTCCACCTCCCACGCCTCCTCCAGTACCGGGGTCGCTTCGGGAAAGTGAAGGAAGGGCAGTGGGTGAGGAGGAAGTGCTTGAGGAGAGAGGGGCATCAACAGAGGACCCTACAGGAGCAGCGATTCCGGGAGGATGAAGAGCTGGTGGGGTTGAATCTGTCCTGCAGGCTGCACTGGACGGACTGAGATCTGGAGGCAGGGCCACATCAGCAACTTGTGGGAGGAAGAAAGACGTCTATTTAGTAGAGGATACATTAGTGGAATGAATGAGTCTGAGCTGCTGATGATTATATGTTGGTTTAGCTGAGTAAATGGCTCCTTCATGGAGCTGCATGTAAACACAGGCAGTGTGGGCCTCCTTTATTATCCTTTCTGTTGGTGGCCAATAACACCAACAACACTAGGGCCAAATACATGCCTGACCAGTGTATCAATAAAGCCATTTACACTCCGAAGCAGACCCCCACTCAGTGTGTGTGTGTGTGTGTGTGTGTGTGTGTGTGTGTGTGTGTGTGTGTGTGTGTGTGTGTGTGTGTGTGTGTGTGTGTGTGTGTGTGTGTGTGTGTGTGTGTGTGTGTGTGTGTGTGTGTGTGTGTGTCTGGCATTCTGGATAAACAGAGGGCCTCTTTTTGAACACTGGGGTGTAGTTGGAGTCTCAGCCTGCATGCTGGCACATGCACACACACACAAACACACACACACACACACATACAGTGAGTATCCCAGCTACTCTCTCTCACACACACACACACACACACAGTTGCACAGGGAGGTATTTATCCCCAGCCAGGAGACAGGAGGGCAGCAGCAGTGGTGTACAGAGTCGTAGCTCTGCTTCCTGTGTCTTTTAAGGATTTAACAGTCATCAACACCATAAATTGACTGAGTTTAAACCAGTTTTGCAAAACAAAAAAATATGTGCAGCACGGTTAAACTGTGTTGACCTCTAGGTATTAAAATGAACAAACATAAATATGTGTTGGGAAAACTTAAAGGGGACATAGTGTATTAAACTGAACTACAGCGCCTTTTAGTGTTTCCACCTGGGCCTCTACTGCCTCTATTAACACTCCAAACGTGAAAAAGAAATCAGTGTTCTGTCAGTGTGTTTGGTTTTAGGAAATATGTGCCTAAAACAAGTTGTTCCAAAACATCATAAATTGGGAAATTGCAATAGGACCACATCTCGTGTAAGACAGATCTGCTGCTGGAAGAACAGCAGTTCTACTTTGAGCCCCCTCCCAGATATCGGAGCTTCTCAGCTTATTGACCCTTTGCACGTGTCGTCAACTCATGTGACCACCCCCTTCGCCATGATGGACGGCAAAACGACCGTTTACACCCGTTGAAACTCCAGTACAGCCTGTCAAAACAAGCCAGTTTGTAGCCTTTTATCACTTTTATTTAGTTGATCTGACAGTAAAATGGTTTTAGCTTGCTGCGTGGTTGGCTGCACTAACAGGCAAGGATGTAAACTCAACTCGTTTCGTTTTTTTAATAACTTTGATGGAGAATGAGGACGGAGATGAACTGCAGCGATCAATCAAGCGGACTAGCAGCCCTCAGATTTGCAGCGAACATGTTTTTACCGGGTAAGATTAACGCTCATTTATTTCACAACGAAGACAGGGACAGGGATAGATGTGATGTGTTTATACTAGTTATTGATAATCCTGATGGATGGGTATTTCACAACTGTAGTGTAAAGCGAGACAATTATTAACAATATTAAAGCTCCGATGTATGATTACGTGTGTTAAAATTACGTTATTTATTTATATGAGGGTCGGCGTTCAGAAATCTTCTCATTCCGGTGTGAGAGCAGCCGCTGAACCCGGTAACACCACCAGCAACAGAAGCTGGTAGGGATACGGACTTTTTAAAAATCAGCTTTGGTGTAAAGTGAAACGCTGTTTATAACATAATGTTATAAATCCAGAGGGGTGAATTTAGGCAAAGTCAGCAACATGTTTACATCGGTGAACAGCTGCAGAGAGAACATAAGCTAACATTGGTAAGCTAGTTAGCATACCGCTCTCTATGAGCCCCCGCTAGATGCGCTACTTTTTCTGAGAACTGAACTGGGCGTGAACTAGTTGAAGGAATGCTGGAGGAGTTTTGTTTTTGTTTTGATCGCAAAAACAATTTCAGGCTCTGCTTTTCCCTTTGTTTAGTACTCGTGTCGCTCACTGTTTACATGCTTTTGCCGTCCACCATGGTGGACCCACGTGATTAGGTGACGTCGGTGCAAAGGGTCAATAGCAGTGAGTGAGGAATGGGTGGGTGTAGTCAACTTTAGCTTGTTTTCTTAAAGGGGCAGAGCCCTGAAATGGCTCATTCTGGAAGGTACTGTCAATGTCTAGAATAAACCTGCTGAAAATCGATTTATGTGTGAAGTATTTAGTGCAAAGAACTTCATAAACGTGTTTGGTACTGACTATAGAACTATTATTACTATTATCAAGTAATTGTATGTCCTCTTTAACTCTAGATGGTCAAATTCAAATGTATCCTACTGATTATCTGAGTTATAAAGAAGCAATGCAGCACTCAAGGACATGTTAAAAGCAAACTAAATACATCTGGGGGTCAAACCACTGACCTCCCCATCTGGTACAACTGCTCCTGTGGTGCATTGCAGAAGCGTTCATCCCCTTCATCATCTTCTTCCTAATTTATTGCATTACAGTTTGTAATTCATTTGACTTTTTCCTGCAAATCTGCCTGATCAAGCGTAAATATGACATCTTTGGAAAAAAGGGATGTGTTCAGTACAGAATTAAATAGCAGTCTGCCTGTATGTCATTCTACGTGATGTACCTGTGGTGGAGCTCCGCGGCACCTGCACATACGAGCGTAACGTGATGTCAGCCGAGCCTCCAGACTCGAGGGGGATCGGGTGGGTGTGGAAGTGTCTCAGCATGTCCGTTACGGTGTGGAACCACAAGTGGTGGACGTGGCACTGTCCATTCTCATTAACAGACAAGCGCAAATGCTGGTGGAAAGAAAATGAAAGGGAAGACATCAGCTGAGGGGTAAATAGAAAGTTTTATGTGAATGAAATTCTAGAGAGAGAGAGAGAGCATGCCAATTAAAAAAAAAAGCAAGACACAGAAACCCCGACAGAGGTCAGGATGTTATATGAGGGGCGTTTTGTTGAGGAGCAGAGCGAAAGCGCGCCAAGGCTGACAGCAGAGGAAGAGGTGGCAGCTCTCACTTCCTCAGTGCTGCCGACTGGCAGGATGTGATGTGCGGGGATTGTGTTACAGAAGATAACAGGTAGAGCTGATGCTCATGCAACTTTTCCAGTGACTGAACATCTTAGAGCTGCAGTCTCCACACTGAAGACATTACTTCAGATCAGCCAAGGAGCTGGCTGCCAGTCAACTTCAGGGTTCATTTCAAGATCCTGGTTCTGGTCTATAGGGCCTTACATGGACAAGCACCATCTTACATTGGTGCTCTTCTTAGTCCCTACACCCCCAGCAGGTCCCTGGGGTCCAGTGATCAAAGCCTACTGGTTGTGCAGCGCACCAGGCTAAAGGTCAAAGGTGACAGATCATTTGCTGCTGTGGCCCCCAGACTCTGGAACTCTCTCCACCTGAGCCTGAGATCAGTGGACTCAGTGGTCTCCTTTAAAAAGCAGCTGAAAACTCACTTGTTCAAGCTGGTTTTTGTGTGACCATCATCACCCTCTCCGTGTTCTGCTCTCCCCACCTATTCCACCTTCCTCAGGATCCACTGATTTCCCTCTTTCCTATTCACTCTCTCTCTTTCTTAACATTTTTAATCACAATCTCATTTTAAATATATTTTTAATAATTTTCTAAATTCTTTTTTATATTTTTGCATTTTTGTTTTTGTGAAGCGCCTCGTGATTTTTATCTTGAGGGGCGCTATAGAAATGATATTTTCTTCTTCTTCTTCTTCTAAATGGTCTATTATTTAAGTAATACTTCTTTTTTGTATCGAGTAATTAGGTATGAAGAGATTATGAACAGGCCTTGCTTAAAGATCAAACCCACTGTTTGTCTCCCTTCTTATCATCTCACCTTGGCTTTGCCCTGGAAGTTGAAGGTGAGAACGTACTCGCCCGGCCTCGTCTCGCTCTGACGGATCACAAAGAGCCCATGGCTCCTGGCTCCGCCCGCAAGCACCAGCTGAGCTGCTCGCACACGAGACAACGTACCGTGGAACCACGGGTAACCAGCCAGGCTGGCATCACCATCCGACTCTTTTGCTCTTTCACCGCCACCTGAATGGTGTCAAACACAAACATTTTACGTGTTTATCTCCATCTGCGATGGTTTTAGTCTCATTATTGCTTAAACCTGCGTCACTACCTGCAGAGTTGTTGGAGCTCTGGGCTTCCGGGGACTGGAGAAAGCGCTCCAAAGGCATGTGGGACGGGTGCTGGGTGAAAGGTGGTTCCCTACAGCGGACTGAGGGGGCGCTGTAATGATCTGCTGCTGTAGGACACGACCTCTCTGGAACCCGATACACACCTGAAATTGTTTGTGCAGATCAAGATTAGTCAGGATCAAAGCATGTAAATATTATGCAACACAAAGCGAGGCATCCGGTGTGTGTGTGTGTGTGTGTGTGTGTTTGCTCACCCTCAGAAAGCAGCTCACAGCTGCAGGACGCCACCATAGAACAGTCCTTAGAGGCCTGACCATGAGGACATGACGCCAGCTCGATGTCATCGCCGCTGTCTCTATACACAAGCAGGAAGGTCAGGACGATCACAGGAACATATACACGTGTGCAAGCACACACATCCAACAAACATGGTTGCAAATAATCTTCCTGTTTACGTCCTGAGCTGCACCTACAAATGTCCACTAGTCCTAAAAAAACCGGAGCCGGTGTTTTCACTCAAACAGCCTGTCAGAAACGCCAGTAACTGGATGATTAATGACTATGTGTGTTTCCCCTTCTTCCCTCTTCAGTAAACAGCAAATATTTATCTGGCGGTTTACCCGGGGTCTATGCAGTCCTGGATATCAGCAACCCAAGAGTTTTTCTGCAGAGAGTCGATGGTTTCCAGGATGTATTCTCCCCCATTTTCCACCTGTGGAAGCAGCCAAAGACAGAGGTCACACATGGAGCTGCTGGAAGTCCCAACAACCTGTTTTCAGGCTCTTCCAGCCCAAGTACAGCGTTTGTATTTTTCCACTTGGGCATGTCAACGAAGGCAGGTGCAAGGCATTTGTGCAGAACGAACCTTAAGAACAAAGGTGTTGTCCTTGTCAGGCATCTCCAGCGGCATGGTGGTCCTCACCTCCACGATGGCTGTAAGAGGGATGCTCACTTTGGGCTTTGAGGACTGGAACCAGTGGACAAACAGACTCATAAAGAGCTGCACAATTGATAAAAACGTGCAATGTCACATCTCTTTTTTATTATTGTGAGGGCATGCAGGGCAGTAATCTGATTTTTCTTTTTAACACAGAGACCAAGAATGGCCACTATCTCACTGGCTGTAACTATTGGTAAATAGCTGCAGATACAAAATTATGCAAGAAAGAAAGAAATTAGGCAAATTTTCTGTTGGAATCCTGCAGATTTGGTCCAGGTGACTCTACTGATTATCTTAGAAGAATTTAGAGGAATCTGAATTATGCAGAAGCATTAAAATAAATTAAAACAATTCACAGTTGGTGTTTTTGTGGGTGTGATAGAAACATATGGTTTATTTCCTTATTTTAATCATTATTCATCCTTATTAAGCATTTATTTCATTTGTTTGTTTAAATGTGTGATTTTTTCTGATGTCGTTCCTTTTCTGGAAAACCAAAAGGGTAAAATCAGGATTCCTCACAAACATTTTCAGACATTTTGGAAACTTTCTGGTGAATATAATTCATCACCGACCGTCACGGCCCAGTGGGATACCAGCTTAGGGAACGCAGCAACCCAAATGTTATATTATATGTTTATTATATTATAATGTGGAGCCATAATTTATAAATGTTTCAATGAGTCAGTTTAATAATTTGGATTAAAATATAAATAATCTGACCTTTCTTCAGTAATGGCTGTTGAACAAAATCTGAGACTGGAACTCCTGTTTAAGGTGGAATGACCCAGATAGAACTAGTTAAGGTACCAACATGCAGCCAGAGATTAATTCAATCTCTTGTAATTGTTTACATTTTTTCAAATACTCCTTTTTATTATTATTCTCTAAAAACAGACGAAAGTATTTGTTTGAGTTTACATGAATTAAAATCATGTTTAGGACAGAATTAGACTGCTGTGCAGCTTACATTAGAATATAAACACAATTATGTCGAGCTGGCGCTCTCTGATCTCACAAAATTAAAAACACAAAGAGTTTAATAACTTTGTCAATGTGTCGCTCTGTGGGTGGCTTCGTTCCAAGCTATAATCACCAAAATCAGAATAAGAAGTTTAATGACATCCTGTGCTTTATTCTGTAAAAACATCTAAAAGCAGAACGTGTGTATTTTTGTTCCATGCCGACCTTTAAATTAGTGGTAAACGTTTAAACACGGAAACGCACAGAACTTTTCCAAACCCTTAACCTTCCTCCTTCCAACCGTATAGTTAAGATTAAAGTGAGAGGATTATTGGTGGAGTCTTTGAAGCCGCACGCTCTAAATTAACAGTGAGATAAAGAATGTTTAAGAATAGAAAAATACTTTTAAAAAAAGGTCTGCAGCAATAATTCCTCAGCTCAGTTTCACACAGTTTCTTTTTGCCCACATCGTTCCTGAAATTATTCACGGAGACAATCAAACACGAAACAGGAAGGGTAAATAAGGGGCTTAAACAGTGCGTGCAGCGTGCATGTGTGTGTGTGTGTGCGTGTGTCAGCTAGAGGTTTATCAGCTGATCTGTCTGGAGTAACGCTGATCTGCCTGAGCAGCTGGCTCCATCCACGCCCACCGCTCCTTTTTCTGGATCAGATGTCAGAAACCACTTCCTGTATTAAACAATTTGACCACTTCCTGTTCCTCCATAATGTTAGTCCAGTATCTCTGGGAGAGATCTGTATTTAGTGCTCTTGTGGTAACTGCAAACAGAAATAAAAGTGTACTTTTTATTTATAGCATATATTGTTTCCTTCTTGTGGTCGGCTGTTCACCTCTGAGACTTTTATCAGTTCATCTTAGAGGTATGTGAAGTATTTACTTGGTGATTTTTTACAGAAATGTGATGTTTAAATGGTGTTTATCTCATAATTATTACCATTTACTTCCACCATCTGTATAAAGAAGTTAAATGTAAACCAGGAGCCTTTTCAGCTATTTTTTTCTCATTCTTTTCCTCCGAAACATTTCTCAAATCAGATAGTTGTGACTAGTAATTTCACCCAGTTTCATATCTGCACTTTTAGCCTCGACGTTCCACAAGTGGGTAAAAATTAGGAGATTTACGTTCATGCCTGGTTTGCAGAAATGTTCCTTGATTGTATTTGAAGCACCCTGCCAAATCTGATCTTAGCGCATTTTCCACCAATTAGTTTTTTTACTACGATCTAAAACAATGATAAAATCTGAAAAACTTGGGATCATCTTACAACCAAATCCCTGTCATTTTTTGCAAGAATTCAAGATTTAGCCAACCAAATTCAAAAATATATATATTAATAATAAATAAATCTGAGACCATGGTCTTGATTCGGAAAAGGGTAGAATGCCTTCTCCGGGTCAGGGATGAGGTCCTGCCCCAAGTGGAGGAGTTTAAGTATCTCGGGGTCTTGATCACGAGTGAGGGAAAACTGGAGCGAGAGATCGATAGGCGGATTGGTGCTGCGTCTGCAGTGATGCGGGCGTTGTACTGGTCTGTTGTGGTGAAGAGAGAGCTGAGTCAGAATGCGAAGCTCTCGATTCACCGGTCGATCTACGTTCCTACCCTCACCTATGGTCATGAGCTTTGGGTAGTGACCGAAAGAACGAGATCGCGGATACAAGCGGCCAAAATGAGTTTTCTCCGAAGAGTGGCTGGGCTCTGCCTTAGAGATAGGGTGAGAAGCTCGGTCATTCGGGAGGGGCTCGGAGTAGACCCGCTGCTCCTCAACATCGAGAGGAGCCAGTTGAGGTGGCTCGGGCATCTGGTCAGGATGCCTCCTGGACGCCTCCCTGGTGAGGTTTCCTGGGCACGTCCAACCGGGAGGAGACCTAAAGGTAGACCCAGGACACGTTGGAGGGACTATGTCTCTCACCTGGCCAGGGTACACCTTGGGATTCTCCCGGAGGAGCTGGCCCAAGTGGCTGGGGAGAGGGAAGTCTGGACCTCTCGACGCTACTGCCCCCGCGACCCGACTCCGAATAAGCGGATGAAAACGGATGGATGGAAATTCAAAAATAGTAAATAGAAAAAAATCAATGTTTTCGTTAAACATGGTATTTAAGGTTGCTAGGCAATGTTTGATCAGTACAGAATACCACAGAAGATAAAAATGCTTGCTGAATATTTTGCCCTCAAAACTCCTGATGTGTGCTCACATCACTGGAGATTCCTCAGTGAACGTGTGATCTTCTGATAAGATATAATTTCATTTTATTCTTTCTTCACATCTTTTACTAAGTTAAACATGCATTGTGAAACATTGTCTAGTCTCAGACCCACACAGGTGATCAGATTCATAAAACCTGCATGCAGTCAGATCAGGTTTCCATGGTAACCGTGTCCAGCTGAACTGATCAGACCTCTCAGCTAATAGGTTTCTGTATACATCTACTTTTAACATTATATTTATTACCCAAGATGTTATTAACTTCAAACAGGGACACTGGCTTTCTAAGTTCTTCTTCTTGCATGACCACTTGATTGGAATTTATCGAGTACAAGCAAGAAAATGTGCATCTATCTCGTATATCTGATGTGTTTTATCTGTGGTGCAACATCAGGTGAAAACTCTAAGGTGACACGTCTGTTAGTCTGTTGCTCCGTGTTATTCTGAGTGTGAACGATTCATCTGGGCCTGCTGTTGTGTCATAATGCAGGTGCTTAGCACAGTGCTGCAGCCTGCCTTCGGATGGATGACCCCAGAAGTGACGTGTCCTGAGCCAGGAGCAGGCGGGAGTGAGATTTTATGGAGTGAGCAGGCTGGTAGAGATACACGTGTTTAATTAACCTCTGAAGCTTCCACTCATCGGAACATCAACACGTGAAACCTCTGTTATTCACTAAGTTCCTCCTGTGCTTTGATCTGACTTTGCAGTGTTAAACAACTCCCATTTTGATTCCTATTTTCTGTTTGCCACAGCAGCCAGTTTGCCAGAGACGAGGAAGCAATCAATAAATACACGAAACAGAAACTTGGAGATCCTCTTGCCTTATAGAAATCAATACGACGGCTTCCTCTCAGTCTTTAGATTCCTCTACTAGCTCCTTCAACCCCTCTCTCCCCCACACTGGCCTCCCACCTGTCCTCAGCCTATTTCCATTCTTTGCTGCCTCATCCACATTCCCGCCAGGCGCGATCAAAGCAGCTGATTTACTTACACTCAGCTGCACAGCCTCGTGGCCTGCTTAAGGTCACAGGCAACGATCTGGAAATCCGGTGCACATAAACACGAAATGTGCACACGCGAGTGTGTGTGTTTTAACCTGAACTCAGCAGCGTCAGCAGGCCTGGATTGCATTTTAATCTTGGGAGGAAGTTAAACTAATAATTAATGTTGCAGTTTAACAACCTCGGAAAATGGACCAAATTAAACGTATAAATGTAGAAAGTATGCAAATGCATGTGTGTGGGTAATTGACATTTTGATCTGTGTAGTGGTTATTGTATGCAGGTGAGTACAGTTCTCCCAAAAACTAACTTTTAGCTGAAATGACCCCAAAAGCTGATCAGATCTTACAGAAACAGCACTAAAACCAACAGGGACACCAGAAATTGGGAGCATGTCAGAAAGAGGAATAAGGGTCTCAATCTATTTTTTTGAGTCATCTCACCTCCTCACCTCCCTCCATTATTCTTCACATATTAAGGCTGCTAAACCTCCAGCATCACCTGAAGTGCTTTCTGACACAGACACTGAACCTATCGATCTCCTCCCTGTCTCTGATGTGTGTTTTTACCTTAGGGGGGACGTAGAACTCCAGCAGGAACTTCTCCACACCATCCTCCCTCTTTGTCTTCCTGAGCAGGAGGCGACACTTTTGCCACTGAGAAGCACCCATGCAGTTTGTGTCGTCAGCCACCATGTATCTCAGCGCCCCCTCCCTCTGGATCTCCAGGAGCTCAGCCTTGTGGCCTTGTGAACCCCTGGGAAGTCGTAGCTTCTGGGACCACCGCTCTCCCCCTCCTGCCTCCCCTGCTACTCCTCCATTTGCCTTCCTGGTCCCCGAGGGGGCATCAGGTTCTGGGGAGGCTCGTCTGTGCCACATCTCCTTCACCCCGTCCACAACACACAGGCTCATGTTCCTCAGGGAGAAGCCTTTCTTGAAGCGAGCTTTCGGGTGGCTGACGGACACGTCCTCTGAGCTGCGGGACTGTCCCAGAACGGACATCTTATGGGTTGTTTGTGGGCCTCGGGAGGTGGTGCTGCCACCGCCTCCCCCATCTATCCCTCCCCCTCCGCTGTCCATACTGTCCAGGGACTCACTCGAAGCCCCAGTGTCCTTGCGCCTCTGGTAGAGGTCGTGACCGTAGGACAGAGGGCAACCCTGGATCCCCAGGAAGGGAACGATGCTGTACTTTGTTGCCGCGTTGCAGCCTTCCTCCCCCGGAGAGGATGCTTGTTTCTCCTTTGCTTGTGTCAGCGCTGCAGAGAAGCACTCCAGGAAGTGGTTGGCAAAGTGCTGCGAGAAGCTGGCATCAGCACCGGGAGAGTCGTAGCATGGGTTCTCTGACAGAAAGCGCTGGAACTTGTCAGCAAAATCTGCAGCGGAAGCTCGAGCATGGAGCTCACAGAACTCTCTCCAGTCAGGCAGCGGACATGAGGAGGAAAGCTCCGGGCTGCCTGGCACCACCGCTCCGTTCATCACTGGGCCATGCCAACCCGCCAAGGAGAGGCTGAGGAGAGGGAAGAGGAGGAGAGAGTTAGCCTTGGATCAACACATCAGCTGTGGTGCAGCCTGGGAGTGTGATGGTGTGACTGGAGCAGACTGTTCACCAGCTTGTGTCTGTCACTATTGAATCTACATCTCAGCAAAGAAAATATATTAAGTTTACCTTCTGATGTTTATTAAAGAGATACTTTGCAACTTTTTCATATTTTTTAATCATTTTCTTGAGCCAGTTTGTGCTAAAATGATCCGTGACAGGGTTAATCCACCCAGCCCCTATCACCCCCTGTGGCCAAAACATACTTGCAACTTCAGAGTACCAGTCTGCTCTGTTGGACATAGAAAAAAATGGAGCTGACATAACTGGCGCTGCAGTCTGCTTCTAGCACGTTTCCTGCATGTTTTGGATCACAAACACAGCTGGTGTGTTTAATTTAGTGATGAGGGCTAGGGGACACTAATGAAGACTGGGGAGACACTTCAGTTAGATTAAGGTGTCAAAAATAAAAAACACAGTAAAAAGATAGGTTTTGCTTTCGGTTCTACTAAACGGACACCAGGGGGTGCTAAAAGCAAGCCAAAACTGCACAGTCTCCCTTTAAAATAGTATTTTTTATGTTATTTCTAATCATGTTTGACAGCCATGAAGAATTGAATGTGAGTAGCTTCATTGATGGGTGTTATTTTTGGTTTGATTCCCATGTTTTACACCAAGTGGTCCCCAAACTTCAGCTTCGGACCCACAAAATGGAAAATGTCAAGACAAACGACCACAGAAATATCTTATTTAACAATAAAACATGATCAAAAAGCTCAATCATTCAAACTGCTTCAGCTAATATTCACGTATACCCACTTAAGACTGTTTAGTTGAGTTTTTGTAACAATTACGCTAGAAACAAAGTTTTAGCAAATGTTTTTCAATTGTATTAAAATTTCTGGAAATCATCTCAGGACCCCAGTGTAGAGACCCCAACATTTGTGAATTGGATTTTAGTTTTAGGGGTTGTTTTTGGTTTATTGTTGGTGTTTCAGATGATCAAGTGTTTTTTATTATTATTATTTTGATCTAAACTAGTGAAACACAATGATGTTTAAACCTTTTAAAATTTTTCTTAAAGCCTTCAGCACCAGGAGCTAAAAACTGAAGCTACAGCTTGAGGGTAAAAAAATAAAGACATGCAGTTTCATTTAGGTGGAATTGTATTTATTTATTTAGAAGAAGTAATATGAAAACAGGTGAGCTTCTGATCATAAACACAACAAGAGATGGAATGAAAAGGATCCAGGAAAATTGTGATAAATCAAAAGATCTCTGTGTATTTAATTATCTGTCTTCAGTCACAGCAGGTTAGCAGCAACATTTCACGGCTCCAGAACACCTCCCATCTCATATTCAACAATTTTTAAGCCTATAATTGCTGTCATCCATTCTTCCATCCTCCGTTTGTTTAGATGAATCAACTAACTCTCGGGCTTTAGCTCTGCCAAACCACATCACATCACGGACACGACTTTTCGCCACAGCGGGAATCTGACACAAAGTCATAATGACATTGCATCAGTAGCGATGATGAGCGTTTCCACCACAGCCCCTCCCTCTCTGCATCTGCATGTCAGCATCAGTGAAGGTAACAAACAATCAGGAACATGTTTCGTTGATTAATGCTGCAGATAAGAGGAAGATGTGCGAGTGAAGCAAAGACATCCTGGATTGGCTAAAACAACTTTCACAAAAAAGCCACTCTGTCTTTTTCCTCTGGTCTCATTGATCTGAATCAAATAACAGACCAGATCACAGAGGGGACGTACTCAGGAGTGCTGTAAAGATCCATTATTTAGCTTTTTTTTTTTTTGGGGGGGGGGGGGGGGGCTCTTGAATACAAGATATAAGATTTGATACTGACATTTCTGAGAAACACTGGTTGGAAACAATGGGAAGTAGAGGAAAAGGTGGGGTTAAAAAACCATTGGGAATCTAAAGTTATGGCCCTTTAAAAAATCTACTCAAAATTATTTTTCCACCACACATGTCTTAAAAATATGTCTGTAAAAGAAAAATAAGAATTACTTGCCATTTGACCTCTGAACTACCTCAGTTTGGAGAAACAACTTGTTTCTGACCAGATTGATAAGCTAACAGCTAGTCAAAGCATGACCAAATTGATTGCTGCCAACACAAAACAACTATTATTTGAAAAGACATTACACAAGTTGAAAAATTGGATGAAACAACCTTTAGAATCTTTATGGTAATCAGGCACGTTAGGGTTGTCTAAAAGGTAGGACTGGGTCAAAAAATCGGCATGATTATCCTGCCGTGTGAACTGGGCCTTGTGTGAAATTGATGGTGATGCAGAGATTTAAATTTTAGCAAAAGGCACAATAAACTTTTTCAACTAGATTTATTTAAAGACATAGAAGATCCACTTTGGTCTGGTCCTTGGCTCGACTAGCTGTTAGCTTGTCAATCTAATTCAGAATTTCTCTTTCCATAGAAAAAAGAAAACATATTCACTACTGTTTGATAAAAATGTTAAACAGAGTCCACATTTGATAATTGACATGTTTAATTGAATAAAAGACACTTTTTAGCTACTGTGTCCTGTTGCACCTGTGAAGCACGTGGATGGTAGAATGAAAAATTGAGTCAGTCAACACCATGAAAATCATCATGGAGGATCTCAAGAAGGAATGGATTGTCATGGAACAGATTTTAAGAGAAGAACAAACACATGCACAAAGTGCTGCACCGGTGAGTAGTTATTAATAACTACATTTCAACCACTAAAATACTCTGATGTAAGATTTATTGCTGTAATAAACATTCAAAATCACCAATTATTGGTATGAATTAAGAATTATAATGAAATTAAATGTGATGCACCTATTTATTAATGATAATAAAAACAGTTAAAAGTTATTCAGTGGTCAAAGTCCTAATATGGAAATGTTATTCAACCCTGATCATCTTGTCCAAGTTTTTGAATAAAGCCGAGCTGCAGGTTGTTGCTGCTGCTGAATCTGAACCACAATTTATGATAAGGAGCCACAATCCCACCCTCATGGGTTTGGAAATAAACTAGTTTTAATTTGGGATTAATTACTAGACAGCAAAATCCTTTTCTAGTCATTATTAAACTCATTCATTAAAGCATCCATACCATCCATTCATGCATTCATTCATTCATTCATTCATTCTAGCCAGGTTTACTTGTATGTGAAGCCGCTAATCAGCATGTGTTGTAATAATTACTCCACCATCACCACCCCCTTGTTGCTGGCAGGCCAGCCGATACCCGTTCAGCTATTTAAAACCAGCACTCGGACAACTTTCCACCCATTCAGCAAAAGAAAAATAAAACAACACAGAGAGGTACGTTTCTAAAACTTCTGCCTCTCCGCACAGATGAGGATGTGCCTCGCTCAAGGATATCGAACCGTCTGCTGTAACACTCTCTCACGTGCTCGCGCACGCGCGCACACACACACACACACACACACACACACACACACACACACACACACACACACACACACACAGTCATTGAGTCAGCATGAAACTCAAACCGAGAGACTCTGGAGGAAGTGGACAGCATTATGGTTTTCTGAGGCTCAGCAGACTAGTGAAAAGGCAGACGGGGATGTAAAGTTAAAATGATGACAAAGAGGGCAAAAACGCGAAAAACACAGATGATGGAGTAGAAAAGGTGAAGAAAGGGGTCCAGCTTTGAGATGATTTTACTCCAATATTTTTGTTCAAATCCCAAAAAATTAAGAGAAAGAAAAAACTTGCGATGGAAAAGAAAATTGCGGCTAAAGTCACTGAGCCTAAATTAGCTCCTTATTGTCCCATAAATGTTGCTATTATTGCAACTTTTCATTAAAAGCTCATTTTGAGAGAGTTGGATCAACAGTTTAGCAACAACATCCTCTTCACTCTCCCTGCGGGACTATAGGACGCTAACGGTTCACCGCTGAGGTTGTGTGTGTTTATTTTATGCTCGAACAAGATAGTTATCAGATATTTAAAGGTGAACAAATTCAGCTTTGGGATGACCGAAACGACCCTAAAGGACTCCCACAGTGAAGAAGACATATCACCCCAGAACTGGGGCATCCAGAACTCATCATAAGTGTGAACTTATACTTCAGAAGCACCTGAGAGGCAGCATGGTGATGCGGGTGGTTAGCATTTTGAGTTTGAACCCCAGACTTTATGCATGGAGTGCGCGTGCGTATCAGTTTACTCCAAACAGCAGTGTTTAATCAACCTCAGGTGTGTGTGTGTGTGTGTGTGTGTGTGTGTGTGTGTGTGTGTGTGTGTGTATCAATGGTTTTTTTTGTTTCTGATGGGTAGCACCGGCTCCCTGCACGGGATCAGGCACATTCAGAGGACACATGGAAAAATATCAGACTCACAACAGCTTCTAAGATGCATTTGGGGTTGAATTATCAGCAGGTCCAAATGTATAGTCTTGCTTTAAAGTGTGCCTGCATGTGAGAATTTGTGTTATTGTTTTGAAGAATAAAGAATGCTTTTTCCGTCAGTAGACGGAGGGGAGGGGCATGTTTTTCTCTACAAGCCAGCTGCTAAAACAATCAGTAAGTGTGGAGGTGGAGGAGACGAGGGGAACATAAAGAAAATGGGAAGTACTACAGGACAAGAGGGAGGAAGAGACACCACGTAGATTCTCCCATCACCGGGAATCAACAGAGGTTTTTTTTCCAGCGCTGATGAAGCAGAAACAAAGAAAACAGACAAAAAAAAAAGGTCATGAGGAATGTGAAAGTGTTCACCTCCATCCTTCAGGCCTCAGTAGCCCTTTCCTTCCTGTATCTGTTGCCTATCTGTTGTAAAAATCTACCACTACCGTGCCCCCTCCTCCTCCTCCTATTCCTCGTCCTGCTTGTTCTTCCCCCAAGGGAGAAGGGCAGATATCTCTGTCAGATGGTTGGAAGTCCTGTCTGTAACAGTAAACTGACTGGGGAGGAGAGGAAAGAGAC